GCACCTTCTTGGTCTCTTGTCTCAGCTTCTCCACTACATACTGCACCTGGGTCTTCTCCACCTGGAGTCAGTACTGCTGATTGTTGGAAACACTCTCTGGATAGTAAGACCTTGACTCTCTTCCTACCACCCCTGCATCCATAACCCATCAATCCAACAGGTTCCCAGGTTCCACAAGGAGAGAGAGAGAGACAAGAGGGCAATGCAGCCATAACAGCTGCACTCAGAAGGCCAAAAGAAGAGAACAGGGATTTCAAGAAAGAATCAAACTATTTCCAAATATGCCAACAACAAAAGAAAACCACTTATCTATACTAAATTGAGTGGGTCCTTCAATGACCTTAACTGACCATCATAATGGGTTCATATCAGGAAGTAAGGGGCAAACTCACACAGAGAGATTACAGGAGACTCAAGGGGTGTACAGATCCCATAGGGGCAATAGACTCATGCCTGAGAACTTTCTCGACACCAATCTCACAGTGCACAATGTTCCTCTACCTAGAAAAGTACTCCTCAAATTATTCCTTTGGTGATGGAATTCCTGTTTCAATTGGTGGCATCTCAGATTTGCTGCATAATAGATACTTACATCATGATTCATAACAGTAACAACATTACAATTATGAAGTATCAGGAAAAATAATTTCATGATTGAACTCACCAAAACATGACAAATTGTTTTAACATGGTAATAGCATTAGGAAGGATGAAAACCACTAAATTAGGTTCTAATTAAGTTTGACAGACTGGGGCTGGGAAGAGCTAACAGTTTCTATCACAACTAGCAATAGTGAGTGTCATAAATACAAGACCAAGAACTGCTTGCTAAGGATTCTTACTCAGAGACATAATGGCCAGAACAAGAGCTGTGGACTCTGCAGTCCAGAGATGGAAATTTGGCAATCCTATGGTCTCCTCCAAAAGAGGCATTTACCAATAGAAAAGTGATTCCTCATTGAGCTCATTGAATCTCTCCAAGGTTTTGTTGTTCTTATTCTTCAGCCTATGCCTTTATCTGCATAAGATTTTCAGACAATTGTGGCCAATGGTAGGGCATGGACCTAGAAACAAAAAACTCCATGAACAAAGTTTTCATAGGTCACATGAATTCAGGCTGTGTTCAAGTCTACTAGAGCCCATGGAATGCCACATTCTGTTTCCTTTGTCCTTGGAACTTCTGGTGCTTTTTGAACTTGTTATCCTGACACTAGAGCAGCAGAGACAGGATGTTAAGATGAAAGGAGGTGGGGCTGCCTGAATTCTTTCACGTCTGCTGAAATAGCTGGTTATAATGTCCCAAGTGTCTACTTTAGGGTCTGTGCCCACCAAAACCTGGGATAATATTTCTCCTCTGCATCAAATAAAAATTATCAGTCCTGGTGTCTGTCAAAATAGAGAATTTTTGTAGATAGTACTACATGTTTTTCAGAAAGGAACTCATGGTAGATTTATACACTACCCAAGGGAATATCTATGTGTCACTAAGGTGAGCACATAGGCAGAACTGCAAGGCTAATTGTGGGGATCCCAATGCTCAAATCAGCTGGGAACTGTGAGACAGGAAAAAACTCATGCCCAACCACTGACAACTTATTGCAGGATCTAGGGAGGTAAACTTGCAGAAATGCACAAACACCCAACACACGTGTGAGTTTAGGTATGTTTGTGTTTGTGTGAAACAGAGGGAGAAAGAGAGTGAGAGAGAATGCTACCAAGAGATGTTAAATACATGCTTGCAGGTGTGACATCTCAGAGAAGACCAAGATGTTCAGAAATCAGTCCCAATCCTTGAAGTCATACACTGAGATGTGTGACAGGGCTTTCCAGCTCCTCCTTGTAGTGCACATCACACAATGTCTTGCCAGGCACTCAGAGAAGCATCACAAAATCACAGCAGCTAACTTCTCATAGAAGCTGCCACTTGACAGGATCTGTCCACATGCATGCTGGGAACTCACACCACTGTCTCAATCCCTGAGTTATGTGACTAAGGCAATATGCTCTGGTTTTCATATGGAGGAAACAGAATAATATTCTTTCCTCATCACACAAGTGTCCAGGTTCCAGTTTTAAATTCTGGGAAGCATTTAGAGACATGGTGCTAGTCAAAGGGACACCATGAATGTGCAGACTTCCAGAAGCACAGATCTTAGAGGAAATAAACTAAAAGTGAAATTGTGGAACCAAGATTGTCAACATGGCTTTGGAAACACTGAATACTTGTTGTCAGTGCATCCTTCGGTGATGGAAATGAGGCAATCCCTTAGCTCCTTTGTTTCTCTGTCCACTTGCTGTAGCTGTTTAGTCACATTCTCCATCTTCTGCTTCACTTTCTTGTTAGTGAGGATGGTTGGGGTAGTTGATGGCACTCCAGCAACCCCTGTAGGTAGAGGAACACAAGTCCAGTTGCATTGTGACAAGTCATAGAGGATATATATATATATATATATATATATCACTCTGGTCCCTAAAACATCATTGAGAAAACTACTATGCCTGTGACTCAGTGACACACCAATGGATTTTTAACAAGGCTTGAAATGCCCCTCCAGTGGATCTCAGCTCTCCCACCTCTGAAGGCAGTTTGGTATCTCAGTCATCTGATTTCCTATGCCTCCTCATCACATACTTCAAGTTAACAAAGAAATTCCTTCCTCAGGCTCATTTTCAGCTGCAGTCTCTCCCTTCAACTTACCTGTAGAATTCATGTCTGTGGGTTTGGAAACTCAGAGGCAATTAGCGTCTATCACGGGCACTCATGTCTTTTTGAGAACCCCAAATAACCTGACATGTCATTCAAACCACATGGTTAATGAATAAAGCACTGTTGGCCAATAGTAATGCAAGATAGGTGGGACTAGGAGTCGAGGAGGATTCTGGGAAATGTAGGAAAGAGTAAAGAGTTGCCATGTGATCCCTGGAGTACAGGAAGCATCAGGAGAGGTCCTTAAAAATATAAAACTTGATATTAGTAATTATGGTTAATACTTAATGCAGATATAGCCAATGAGAAACCCTGCACATTGGATGACAGCCCTGTAACTAATAGAGTCTCTCTATGTTATTTGGGGTTAATGAGGCTCTGGTATCAGGCTGATGGGAAGAAATGCATATTACACTCAGGGCTGGAGAGTTAGTGCTATACTTTGGGAACAAAGTTTGGCATTGATATGCAGGTGGGCAGGCAATTCTTCCTGCTAAGTAAAATTGTGCCTACTACTGCGTCCCTCACTGCACTGTAGAAATATAATGAGGAGGATATGAAGCATCACAAGGAGTGGACTGATATATTGTGCCATTCAGAGCAATTGCACAGTATACTGTTATTAAGTTCTATTTTATTCCATTTTCCTAGTGTTTATATTCTATTTTCAGTCCCTACCAATGTTTTAATGTCACATTGCAATACGGATTTCCCAAGTAAGAAACTTGTTAGGCCAAGACCGAATAAGTCATGGATCACCATGAACTATGCTATATAAGCTGAAATGTATGAAACTGAAGATTATTATGAACTTTATTTCATGAATCAACTTCAGTCTTTCAACCCTATATTTTATATATCAAGTGGATCTGTTTGAGTGCCCAAGATGAGTTATTCTCGATTATTTGTATATGCTTTCTCATTGGAGTTCTTCACGATTGTATCAGCTCCTTCCAGGAATGCAATGTAATGTGGAGCTCAAAACTATAGAATTGGCATGGATTTCAATTTTTAGTAGCCTTTGGAGCCTTCATGACCAACAGCTTACAGAGATATGTCTATATATATGACATTGGGGTTTTTATATAACAATGAAAATGTTGATGCTCAAATTGTCTGAATTACACAATCATATAACTCCAGAAAATCAGAAACAAAGGAATACCAGAATAAAGAGTGGAAAAGCAAAACAAAAAAATCTTCAAAAGAAAATCAAGTATCAAGCTAGAGCCTAAATAATTACATTAAATATAAGCAGCAAAACATTACAACCAAAAGTGAAAAACCATAAAGTGAGTCATTAATTAAAAATGGCCTTTTACTGACAAATGCAAACTGAAAAATGAAAGTAAGGAAAGAAGTATATACCATATTAATAGCCAGCATAAGAAAATAATAAACTTGAACTATTGTCAAATTTTTGTTTCAAGTAACTTTTTTTCACATATTTAATTTGACAATTGTAAAATGAGAGAAAGCATCTCTTTTCTTCGGGGATGTAGGTCCTAAGAATTTAATCAGTGGGATGGTACCTCACTATGCACATACAGGGAACAGGTGAAATCATTGGGTATTGATTTAAAACAAACAAACACACAGACAACACGTGAAGTTGAAAGGCGTAAGTAGGTAGGAATCATTGGAAGAGAGGGAATAAATGGTAGTGGAGCAGATCAAATACATTATATGCATACATACATCAATGAATATTAGATAAAAATTTAAGTAAAAATTATTGGAAAACAGTCAAGAACAATGTCTCATGCCTCTCATGGCGGATGTCCATTGATGGTTTGACTTCTTCCTTCTCTACCTTACACAAGGGAAGGACATCTCAGATCCAAGAACCATCATCTGGCCAGAAGGATAAGAATGAACTTCGAATTGATTTCCATTAGTCTGATTCACTACAAAAATGCTAATGAGGAAATACTGGGTAGCCAGGTTTTTCGCTAGCTTCCCAGATTCAACAAAACACACTTTAAAGTTCCAATCTCTGGGTTTTGACTATGTTTCAGGCAGCACAGCTGCTTGCAACTTATGATTTTATATTCAACTGGTAATGGCCTCCAAATTTGATAGTTTTATCTCGTAATTGTTTGAAAGAAAATTACCCTTCCATTTTGCGTGTCCTCTTCTCGTTAGATTAGGACTCAACATAGCACAGATCAGCTTAGAAACATGGGGTGTGCTCTAGACAAAAAGAACACATGATTTGCTTGAGAGTCTTATTCCTGCACTGGCCGCCAGAGGGCGATGTTGCACAGTAGCCACTTCCATTTCTGCAGGTGCTCCTTGCATCTGGCTGAGTGAAGTGAAGAATTAAAGACAGCCGGAGGTCAGAAAGTTCCCAGGACTAGGATCACTTCTGCAGGGTTATTTTATTTTAGGATATTATCTAAACAAGGAAAGTATCGAGTCAACATTGTGCCCTTTGTCCTCAAGAACTGGCAACTTCATGTGCCAACCTTTTCCATAAAGACAGCAGAGGTGTTCCCAGCGCTCATCCATGCTTCCAATACTCATCTCATTCCTGGCGATGCATTTTTTCCTGGGTGAGTAAAACATCCTCATTGTTTATAGATGCACACGAATCGGTGTTTTTCTCACTTGAATTTCAGTAAGAATATTTTCCTCTATGAAGTCTGCATCATGTTTATTGATTTATCATTGATTTTGCAGGAGACGTCCAAGCACAGTCAGTTTCCCAGGCTGATGCCCATGTCACCATCTTCGAAGGAGACTCAGTGGAGCTCAGATGCAACTATTCCTATGGTGGAGCTTCTTATCTCTTTTGGTACATGCAGCCCCATGGCCACAGCCTCCAGTTTCTCCTCAAATACATCTCAGGAGACCCCGTTGTTCACGGCGTGAATGGCTTTGAGGCTGAGTTTAGCAAGAGCGACTCTTCCTTCCACCTGAAGAAAGCCTCTGTGCACCTGAGCGACTCGGCTGTGTACTTCTGTGCTCTGAGTGCACAGTGTGTGGGGCTGCAGGAGGAGCTAAACACAAACCTGTAAGATGCTGGGGAGGACTATAGCTGAGTGACTTGCGATCATCCATGCTCCTGTAAGTAACCTAAATAAAGTTATTAGTTCTCCCAGATGGACTTCTCTGCAGCCATTACTTTGGGCTGTCATTGCTGCTCTACCTACCGTATATAAGCATTGGTCACAGCTTCCAGGAAAGTAACATAGCAGGCTAAAACCGTACAATGATTCCTGAGACATGCTTGTTTCCCTAGATGGGAATAGAGAAAAACAAAGCCAGACGAAACCACTCAGTACCCAGTGCCTTTCACCACCCCTGTTGAATGATGTGTTTGGGAGACAATGCCTGTTGCCTTTTTTCTGGCTCCTAAATATTGTACTTTTTTTGTTTGTGGAGACAGGGTTTCTCTGTGACTTTGGAGGCTGTTCTGGAACTAGCTCTTGTAGACCAGACTGATCTTGAGCTTACAGATCTTACACTCTGCCTCTGGAGTGCTGGGATAAAAGGCATGCGCCACCACCACACCATTATTGTACATTTTTTACTTTGTATTTAGAAACACATAGTTTTGTATTTGACAATGAAATTCAGAAAACCAAGTGTCACCAGAACAAAAATAAAAAACTTAGTCTCCTACAATGTATGCAGCATCTTTGTCTATCTGATTCAGTGATGTACAGGTAAGAAGCAGTTTGAATGTGTCAGCACATGGAGAGGTTGCACATTTTTGTTCATGTGGTAGGGGGCAGCTGTTACTAGACAAGGGAGACTTTGGTGACATAAATCGTGGATGGAAACAGCACTTTATGATGGAATGTACAACTTGAAAAAAATTAATATTTTGATGGTATGCCTATCCATATGCATGTATGCATGTGTGTACATGTGCGTTTGTGTGTGTGTGATTGTGTGTGTGTGTGTATGTGTGTGTGTGTGTGTGTTTTAAGGACTGCAGGTGCCCTCAAGGGCTAGGTACATGGATTTTCCTGGTTTGGGCATTAAAGAGGGTGGTGAGCCACTCTACATAGCTGTTGGGCACTGAACTCAGATCCTCTTGCGAGTCTTACAGCATCTCTCATCAGAGTCATTCCTTAGTGAACACACAGTTCAAGAGCTGTGGTGGTGGAAAGTGTCTCCACTGTGAAGAGCATGCTGTTCATCCACAGACAAGCCATTTGTGCCTCTTCGAAGAGGGTGAGATTTAGCTCAAACTTTACTCTCTTCAGAAAAATACTCTTGGATGACATGTTCCCATGCAGCTATAATTTTATGGGAGGATATGTTCCTGTGTGACTATGATTTTATGGGGTGATATGTTCCTGTGTGAATTTAACATTATTAGCAGATATGGTCCTGTGTGCCTATAACTTTATGGAACTATATTGGTTATGCAAATAGTGTTGACATGTAAAGATACAGAGAAAGCACAGTTAAGAAAAAGGCATCCTGTCAAAACAACAAAGGGCATGCAGCAAATGTAATGCAGAATCTGTTTGATGAACATAGGACAATCACATGTCGGGGAAGGGGAATCCCATTCATCTCCATGGGTATTCAATATTTCTGTATTTCTCTAGTAATGCAAGTTTGGTGGGTTTGTCTTGGTTAATTTTATGTTTCAGTGATGAGACACTGTGGCATAGTCACCTTACAGAAGAGCTTATTTGGGGCTTACAGTTACAGAGGGTCCATAATGGTGGGGAGGATGGCACGGGGACATGGTACTGGAGCAATGACTGAGAGCATCCATCCTGAGACGCAACCACAAGGCTGAGAAAGTGTCACTGAGAATGACTTGAGTCCTTTGAAATCTCAAGACAAGACCACACCTCCTAACTCTTCCTAGCTTTACCATCAGAGAACCAAGTACTTAAACACATGAGCCTATGGTACCATTCTCTTCAAAGCACGGGAGGGTTTATTATTATTATTACTATTTTTGAGGTGATAGAGACTGACCCCAAAGCCTCAAGCATAATAGACTATATGCTCTACCACCGAGTAACACAATATTCAAATATTTCCAATAATATACATGTAATATAATTGTCATTTTTTCACAAAACTTTTACCGAGTTGAGTTTCTTATGGTAAATGTTTCAAATGTGAAACAAATGTATATTTAAAGTAGTGATATTCCTTTAAACAAACAATATTCATTTATTAATCTTTTCTATTTTTATTTTTTAATTTCATTTTACATTCTAACCACAGTTATCCCTCCCATTCTTCCTCCAACCCCCATATCCTTCATTTATTTATTTAAGAATAATCTGTTAGTTATCCTTTAGGTTTATGACACCTGTCCAAGTGTAGGGTAAGGCATGGAAAAAGTTTGTCTCTTTCCCCCAAAGTCATCCAGTTGTGACTAAAAATGTGTTGACATTCCTTGCTTGTGTGATTTTTCCAGTGGATTACCACATGAACCAAACTGGCTACACAAGAAACTTAGAAATGGCATGGAATGGAGTTCCTAGGTAAGACAATGTAAAAGTACAAATACGTCAATCACAACTATTCTTCAGAATTACAGAACCACCATTCAAAGGATACCAGGTGTCTTAGACAAATAAAAGATCCAAGAGTGTGGTATTCCATCACTGACTTTCAGAATATAGGTCAACAATCTTCTGAGGTTAGCAAATTGCCTAAAATGGGGGTAGGGGGAAGGGTGCATCTACCTAACACATATGCATTTCCTGTTTAATTCTCAGCTCAAACTCATCCTCTCACTATGATCTTAACCTTTCCTAACTGAAGAATTAAGATACACACATTCCATTGTCTCAGAAGATGAACTCTTCTCTGGGACTAGTGATTGTACTCTTGTTAATATTTGGTAAGTGGGATGACACTGGAGCTTCTGTCTTGTTCTATGATGCTGTCATAAAATTTAAGGACAATTTTTCCTACAAGGCAGAAATCAGGTTATCACCAAGGTGACCAAAACTGAATTGTTGTTATTAAATTCCATCTTTAGGAGAAATCAATGGAGACTCTATGACTCAGACTGAAGGTCAAGTGATATTCTCTGAAGGGACTCCTCTGACTGGGAACTGTTCCTATGAAACCCAACAGTACCCTGCCCTGTTCTGGTATGTGCAGTATCCCGCAGAAGGTTCACAGCTCCTATTTAGAGTCTTATCGGCCAAAGAGAAGGGAAGCAGCAGCTACATGTGATAGAGGACCCACTTCCTTCCACTTGCAGAAAGTCTCTGTCCAAGAGTCAGACTCGGCTGTGTACTACTGTGCTCTGAGTGACACAGTGGCACTCAAGGTTTGTTAACTTATTTGTTATTACTAAAGATTCTTGCATTTGACTGAATTTAGAATAGAAGATCTCAAAGGAGACAGTCTGTATCTTGGGAAAATATGTTCCTGCCATTTTTATTTGGCTTCCTTCATACTTTTGGCCAAAACTATATCATATTCTGCAGCCTCTTCCTTAAGTTTCTAATGCGTTCTTCTTTCAGTGCAGGAAGTCAGTGGTTGTGATCTGCATAGAGGAAAATTATCCTGAATCTTAGGTGCTTCACTCCTGAGGGGGAAATGAATTAAAATGAAGAGATGAATGTTCTCAATTCTGCTTCTAGATCAAGTGAGGGAAACTGAATTAAGCATCAGAGAAGTTGGAAGTAACATTCTTAAGAGAAAGAAACTTCAAATGCGGTGGAGTTGGGACAGGCTAGGAATTAGATAGAGTGGTATAGACAACTGTACTAAAGAGATTATTAGTCCTCAAGGAAAACTGGGACAAATGGATGAATATTTACCCGTTAATGGAAGGAAGTGTTCCTTCTTTCTGTAGTACATTACAAAAGACCAAAGGGATCCCGCACTCAAAATGTAACAACCAAGTAATGAAGCATGATGTATTATTTTAAAAAATATTTGGCTTGTGTGTGTGTGTGTGTGTGTGTGTGTGTGTGTGTGTGTGTGTGTGTGTGTGTGTGTGTGTGTGAGTGAAGATGTATGTCTTCAGAGACCAGAAGAGGACATCAAATACCCCAGGGCTGAAGTTGCAGGAAGCTCAAAACTGGCAACCAAACTTGGGTTCCTTGCAAGAGCACCAAGTGCTCTGAAACACTGAGCCATCTACCTAGGCCAAGTGAACAAAATTTAAGTAAACATAGAAATGAACTTTAATGACATAAGCTGGACAAATCTTTCTTAGTTATGAACAACAAAGTGGGAAGAAAAAAAGTGAAGATAAAGTAGTTTTTCCTCATTGAAGTGAAAAACATTTTTTTTTTTACTTTTTCAGTGCTAGGAATTAAACTTGGGCCTCATGAATGTTAGACAGGTGCTCTACTGAGTTATAGTCCTAGAACTAAAATGTTTGTGCTTTAAAGTACAACATTGATAATGTGAAAAAAGAACCCCAAGCTGATGGACATGTTTGCAAATGATGTGTCTGGCAGCAGTGCCAAACAGAATGTGTGAGCACATCAATATCCATTATTATTATTATTATTATTATTATTATTTAAAATGCATTCTCTCATACAATACTCGCTGACCATAGTCTCTCCTCCTTCCGCTCTTCCTAGTACCCCCTCTCTCCCCTCTCACTCAGACCCACTCTCCTCAGTTTCCCTTCAGAAGACAGCAGGCATCCCATAGGGATTAGGAACTTGACACAACACAAGATACAACAAGACTAGTCATAAACCCTCATATCAAGACTGAACAAGGCAACTCAGTAGAAGGAAAATAGTCCCATGAGTAGGTAAAGAGTCACAGACACCCCTATTCTCATTGTTAGGAGACTAAAAAAATCCCCAACTAAACAACCACAACATGTATGCAGATGGCCTCGCAAAGACCATGTAAGCTATTTTGGGGACTTATTTTTGCATGTATTGTTAAGTATAGATAACTCTACAACATATCAGTTCTTTTCCTATCTGTCTAGACTTAGGAAGCCCAGATATCAAGGAAGTGTGTGAGATGACCAGTGTTGAAGAACATACCAAATATTGAAATATACACCTGAAATAATTTAGCATACAAAGAATGCTTCAGAAGACCTAGTCAAAATATAAAGCTCTAGAAGAACAAAAAGCAAGTTGCATGACCATAGCATTTGAAAACAAACAACAAAAAAATCCATTGGCTCAACTTTCTAATTTGATCCAGAGTCTGCCCCTTCTCACAGCTTCTGTTCCTACTGTCTCATTGGAGCCTTGAGTGTCTATTTGAT